ATCCACCACATGTTGGTGAGTTGTTGGACAGTATTTCTTGCTTTAGTCACCACAGATGGTTGTTTTTTATTTAATTAAAAGGCTGGATTTTGTTTGGTGCCATGCAATGTGTTGGAAACTAATATTGTAGCCAAGAAAAACTGTCTTGTTTTAGGTCTAAAATATGTCCTTGCTTAAATTAATTAAATCATTGCAAATCTCTCTCGAAAATCTCCATTTTGTTCTCTTTGGCGACACCTATGGCAATAGTTGGTAACTTCAGGCATGTTTCTGGATTTTAAAGTTGCCACTTCAAAAAATAGAGTGTTACAGTGATGAAGTTTTGTTTTAATCCGGCCCTGAAAGCAACATCTCCTTGGTTCCTTCCACAAAAAAAACAATGGGATTTTTCCACTGGATTTTGGATTATTGCAGAAGACAATCTCAACATTTATGATATTTACACGTTTTTGTTCAGCAGGATAATAAGCTAAAGGCGGCTAATGTTGGGTTATAAAGTAACTACAGCACGGTCACATGACTTCACTTCACCACCGCTAAGCTAAAGGAGGCTAATGTTGGGCTATAAAGGAACTACAGCACGGTCACATGACTTCAGGTCACCACCGCTAAGCTAAAGGTGGCTAATGTTGGGCTATAAAGGAACTACAGCACGGTCACATGACTTCACGTCACCACCGCTAAGCTAAAGGAGGCTAATGTTGGGCTATAAAGGAACTACAGCACGGTCACATGACTTCACGTTACCACCGCTAAGCTAAAGGCGGCTAATGTTGGGCTAAAAGGAACTACAGCACGGTCACATGACTTCACGTCACCACCGCTAAGCTAAACGCGGCTAATGTTGGGCTAGGAACTACAGCACGGTCACATGACTTCAGGTCACCACTGCTAAGCCTAGGAGGCTAATGTTGGGCTATAAAGGAACTACAGCACGGTCACATGACTTCACGTTACCACCGCTAAGCTAAAGGCGGCTAATGTTGGGCTATAAAGGAACTACAGCACGGTCACATGACTTCACGTCACCACCGCTAAGCTAAAGGCGGCTAATGTTGGGCTAGGAACTACAGCACGGTCACATGACTTCACGTCACCACCACTAAGCTAAAGGCGGCTAATATTGGGCTAGGAACTATAGCACGGTCACATGACTTCACGTCACCACCGCTAAGCTAAAGCAGGCTAATGTTGGGCTAGGAACTACAGCACGGTCACATGACTTCACGTCACCACCGCTAAGCTAAAGGCGGCTAATGTTGGGCTATAAAGGAACTACAGCACGGTCACATGACTTCACGTCTCCACCACTAAGCTAAAGGCGGCTAATGTTGGGCTAGGAACTACAGCACGGTCACATGACTTCACGTCACCACCGCTAAGCTAAAGCAGGCTAATGTTGGGCTAGAAACTACAGCACGGTCACATGACTTCACGTCACCACCGCTAAGCTAAAGGAGGCTAATGTTGTAAATGTAAATGTTTAGTCATCTCAATTAGACACTTGTTAGCAACTGCCGTTTTTAAATTCACCAGTGGGGTATTCACTGACATATTTGATATCTTAAAATAAAAATGTGTTCAGCTTGTGTTAACCAGAGACCTTATTTCAGGCCAACAACCAAAAACACAATCGTAAAATCTTTGACTTCCAGACGAGAAACAGGAAGTGCTAAAATGCTAACGGGTTTTAGGACTCATTCATGCACCACTTTATAGAAAACACAGTATATAACACATGCACTTAACTTTACCCTCCCTGAACTCCAGCACCTGGCCTCCATGTTCACAGACAGATTACATTACCATGACCTCAGTGACGCCTTCAGGTAAACCTAAAAACCTTATTGTTTATTTGAACCCAGTAGTATCCCTGGATGAAGTGGGATATGCAGGTTTGAAAAGAAAGAAAAAAAGCACACAAAGCAGGTGATTGAGTTCAGGGCCATTTTGCACTTTGTTGGATACTTAACAATGAAGACAGACACATTTAGATTTCTTAGGGAAATCAGACTTTTTTTACATGGTTATAATATTTTAGACGTGTATTTTGTATAACAGAAGAGTACAAAGTAATAGTGTACTTATTTTATTATGTGAAAGTATGACTTTGACCAACACCAGTAACATTTTAGGCATTAAAACATATTGTAAACCAGCATATTAGACCTTAGATGACCCCTTAACTAATTAATCTTTATGGAACTGTTCCTACATTATTATTAATTAAATCCTTTTGCAAATGTGTTGTGCTTTTGGGCTGACTCCTCTAGCTGTCTGTCACTTTCTTCTCTGCCGTTGGCATGTGTGTGTCAAAGTTTCAGGGAGATGTCGCAGGGTTTATTAGATCTTTAAAAAACAAGCCGGAAGACACTCGTCTCGGCAGAAAGGATTAACATTCACATCTTTCCATTTCACACAACGCCCACCAGGGAAAGTAGTAAAGCTCTTACACTCTTTCAGAAGAAGATCCTGGAGGTTTTGGGGAAGATTCACCAAAGATTCTCTGTATTTTACTTTATAAATCTGCTAGTTCTTACTTCCATTGTGTCTTGCTTTTGGAATAATGGAAGATGCGCTTTTGCCTGAGTGAAAGTACCAATAATACACTGTGTGAAGTACTTACAGTTTATTGTTATTGTGTAAGTCCACACTCCTTTGTTTACTTTACTTACACCAAGCATCAAAAATACTTTTAGCTTTGATGCCTTTTGGTAGTTTAATCCACATCAATGCATAATAAGATTATCATTATTGCTTTCTATGTAAGACTTTCTTGTGTAAAGTTAAAAAGTACAATAAATCTCCCTGAAATGTTTGCACACACACGTCAAAATTGAAATGAAGTGCCATAGATAAGTAAATGTACTTAATTACATTCTACAGTTAATTTTTCTCTGAGAAGTAACCAATGACTAATGGTGGTCCATAAAATGCAGTGGTGTAAAAAGTACAATATATCCTGCTGATATGTGGAGTTTTTCCTAAGTAACTTCCCACTACACTGATGTAACAAATCATTGATAACATTTCCTCGCATCCATACAAGAAAAACAGAGTGTTTGGCAGAACGTAAGAGTTTTATTCCACATGAAACACAAGCACCTTTTGTTTATTTACAGTCATAAAGCAACATGCTGATATATACAGTAAAGTGACTATATGTTTACTATTATGGGCCTCTTACATTGAGTATTAAATTAAGGCACTCTGAGATACATCCTCACATTTATGTTTCAGTCATCACAATACAGATTGTCACGCACACATTATCTTCTCATTTATACATATTTACATCACAGATAATTGATAGCACATCTATCTGACCCTTTGCTTTTGACACAGGTCTTTGCATCTGTTTGCACACATGTATTTCCTGTTTTTTAATTATCTACATGTTATGATTTAGTTAATTTTGGCAGTGAGTATATATTATTTCGTTATTGAAATCGTCCAGGATGCATGATCATTTCAAGACGAAAGAAGCCTGAAACTAATATAATTTGAAAAGAGTGTAAAGTCTGTCATTGTGCATGAAAATCATAACTCAAATTAATCAAAAAAATGTTGTTGGCATATCTCTTAAGGTTTTTACAAAGGGCCATTTATAATTAGAAAGTTCTGTCAACAGCCATACAAATACATGTTTGCCATAGTTTTAGATTAAATTGTTCTATACATCAGAGTTTTCATGATCTGTGAAGCTTAAATCATGATATTTTGTACACAGTCATTAAAAAAACAACCCTTTTTCGACATGTTTTATGAATAATTGTACCATAAATCAGGTCGTAAATGGTGTGTGAATGCTACCCCTCTGTAAAAAGCTTCAGAATATAGAGAGGAATGAAGCTGGACAGTTGTGTGTGTGTAAGTGCTACTGAAGAGGAGATATCTGCTGAAGAAAGGAGGAGAAAAACCTATTTTTGAGAAAAAATATGGATTGTGAAACTCAGAAATGATCGATAGGGTAAAAAAAGTAACTAATAGCTTTCACCATGAAATTTCCCCAGTTCATTACTGACATTAAGACAATGAATTTTTGCATTACGAGTTTTACGACATGTTATGTTTAAATGAGCATATGAGGCATAATGTGATGCTGACAAATCTTCAGACATATGTACTAAATATTCATCTGATCTTAAAGCCACCAGTGCATAATCCAGCTCTGGGAGTCTTTGTGCTGGTGTTTGCCCACGGACATGTGACTCGTATTTTTCTGTTTACACTCCACCTGTCCACACTTCATCCCTCTTGTGCCTCATTTCATTAGTTCTGATGAAAGGCTGTATAACAGGAGATGCAGTGGAGCGTCTCGGCTCAGCAGTCGGAGTTATTAGAAGATAAATTGTACAAAAGGTCTGAGTCAGATAGAGCATGCGGTACTCTGTCAAGAACGGGGATTTGTGTAATAGCATATCCAATTGTATGCTGTTTGATGAGTATTTTGCTGCCTTTGTGGCAAGATACTCTCTGAAATTGAAAAGTAAAAGGGTGTCTTTTTCCATTCGCACAGGGATATTACAGAGATTTTTTTCAGCCGTGCAGCCAGTCGGTACTTGAACACTAAACCAACACCTTTCTGATAAAAAAACATCTCAATCTCTACATACACTTGATGAAAACACCTATATTTTAGACAACATTTCCTCAAAATTCAGATCACATAGGTCAAGAGAGCTCAAAAGATATGTACAACCTCAATATATTCCAAGTCAAGGTTAAAAAACAAAATAAATGTATCTACAAACCATCAAATAAATCTGAATAAGTATCTGCAGTGCATCATGAGAGGAAATTCACGAACAAAATTCAACAAAATGTTGCAAATCTGATAACATAGGACAAGTAAAATCAAAGAAATGATGTACAACAATGTATTCAAAGTTAAGAAAAGTAAAAAATCTGAATTTATCACATATCTAAATGTCTTTTTAAATAAGTTGGAAGACGTATCATGCAGTGACCGGATATTGAGTGAGTTTTTAACCGTCTCTCTATGCCAGAATGGTCAAACTTGCGTCATTTAAGTCATACCGTTCAGTGTTGCATTGCATGCTGGGAGGTGATTTGGCGGCGGGGCAGAGGAGGGTCCGGAAGTATCTCCGAAAAGTTTCGGAAAAGCATGCGTAGAGGATGGGGTTGGCACAGCTCCACGAGTACGACAGCAGCACAATTAACTCAAAGGCTCTGGCGAAGGTCAAATACAAGCCCGTTTGGTACAGAGCGTAGAAGTTTAAGGTGTAAAACGGCAGCCAACATATCCCGAAAACCACCACGACTGCAACCACCATTTTTGTGACCTGTGACTCCAGACGGTGGGTTTCAAAGTTCGGCGTTGTTGTTGTCGTCATTCGGATCCGTTGGGACCTCATTGTTAGCAGAAGCGCCGCGTAGGAAGCCGTCATGACAGTAAAAGGCAAAGCAAACCCCATGACGAAGGTGTAGGAAAGAACTCCGAGCCACCAGGCGTCTGAATCGAGGTCCGGAATGCACAAACCTCGATCGGAGGAGAAGTGAAGCGCCATGGGTAGGATGGTCAGAAGAGAGAACAGCCAAAGGAACGCCGAGACGATCTTTGCCCAACGAGGCGTTCTCCAACGGGCGAACTTTAGAGGATCAGCCAACGCCATGTAGCGGTCGATACTCATCGCTGTGAGACAGAAGATGCTGGTGAACTGGTTGAGGCCGTCCAGAACCATCACCACTTTGCACGCTATGTCGCCAAACATCCACTTATTCTGGAAGTTCTGGCTCGCTATGAAGGGAAGACCCACCATGAAGAGTCCGTCAGCGAGCGCCAGGTTGAAGATGTAAACCGTGGTGGAAGATGAGAGTTTGTCCAATTTCAAAATGGCAATAACCACGAGGGAGTTCCCGGCGAGTCCCAGGATGCAGACCACCAAGTAGAGTATAGCCATGGTGATGCGAAAACCATCAACATTGTCCTTGTATAATAAATGATCATCCACAAAGGTGGTGTTGAAGTCTATATCGGAAAAAAATGGGGCGTCCATTGTGCCTCGAATGATTGATCAGAAAAGAAAAACAGAAATGTTGTTTAAATTCCCTCGAAAGCAGCTCAGGAAGCAGCTCTTGACTCTCGTTGGTGGAAGTAAAAGGTTCTCAAAAAGATGAGTCAACAACTCATCTGAAAAACCTGAAAATCAAACACTGTTTTCAAGGTTCAAGAGCAGCCAGGCTTCAGTAACTCTTCAATTGGCCCCATGAAGTCAATCCTTTTATCTTGAGAAAAAGAAAAACACCTGCAAAAGTTTATTCCAAGTCTGCACGCTTCTTTCTGATTCCCATGAGCACACTTAGGAGTCACTAACACACTCAATTTGAAAGGAGCAGGATTGCCACTGAACACTCTTTCTCCCTGGGAGCTCCTTTATATGTCTTCCCCCCACAGTGTGTGAGGAGTGTGTGTGAGGAGTGTGTGTGGACCCCCCTCCCCAATTTGTCTCCAGAGATTGTGATAAACTCCTCCTCAATGCCCCCCCCCCCCCGCAGTTCCTGTGCCGTAACACTGTCTCCAAGGTAAAGCCTGGCCCCATCTGCTACAATACTTTTGTTTTCATAACTTTTTCTCTCCACTCTTTCTTCTTCTGTTTACTTCAACCCCCCCCCTTTACTCCTTACCATCCATTTTGTCTCAGTTCAGTGGGGGGTCATACAACTAAAACCTAAACACACACACATAGATAGGAACTCTATCTTGTTGTCCGGGGGGGCCACCCACCTTTACAACCCCAGACTGAGTAAATCTACCCCACAGGAAAGAGATGTCTGCTGTGTGTTGTTTCAGGGCTTTTGTTTTTTGACTTTTTGACCATTAGATGCTGTTTTCACTCCTTCCATTCTACCTTGTTTTTCTTACGCCACAAACGGAGGAAAAAGGGGAAAAGCGAGAGGTGAAAAGGAGACGACAGCAGAGTGGAAAGGAGGAAAATGATGAGGAGAAAGGGGAGGAGGGTTTACAAGATTAAAGACTCTGGATGAGCGATGACCTCCGTCCTGTTGCCGCTCTGACACGCATTGCTGGAATACCCCGGGAACGTCCTTCCAAAAAAAACCTCCAGTGTATTGCGCCACCCACCATCCACACGGCAAAGGAAAGCTAACAAAAAGAATTCTTCCGAACCGTGCAGTGATTTTTTTTCTAATTTCAAAGACCTTATCCAGAGCTCATTCATCAAATGTCATAGATTTCCTTGGAGATATCTCGAGACATACCTTCCCCTTTTAACTGGTTTCAATTAACTGGGAAAAATGCCTTTGTAGTCTAAACTCCTGATTAGGTTGTGGCTTAACTTCCCCCTAGAGACCCACCTCTCCACCCCGTCCCCAGCGCCTCGTTAAAACTTCACTGGAAACACGGTTTCATGGTGCTAAATTTGGAGACGTTTGACAGCTTCGTATTTCACGGGCAGTATTTCCAGTGGCGTTGAGACAGACATGCTGGCATCCACATCCACGTGCTGTAAAAGGACAAGCCATCAAACCAATGACATGTTTCACATCCCAAAACTCAAAGAGATAAAGGGTACTATATCAGAAAAGTCACTTTAAGAAGTATCCAGTTCTTAAGGTGCCCTGACTGTCCTTTCTTTTTCACCACCATCAGTTATTTTTACATTGTTCGACAGCTGTAGCTTTGACCTTTGTTCTGATTTTTTAGTGAAGACCAGAAGCAGGTTTTATGCTTTCGAAATAAATGCCTATTCTTGTCTTGTAGGGATCACGTGAGGCCCTGAAACCCAATATTACAACTTTGGTTCTTGACAAAACGTCAGGAGATCAACAAATTCAATAGGATCCATCCTCTGGAAACCATACATGAGAAATGATTTACTGAATAAATGAAAAATGGTATCTGCTGGTAGGACTCAAATCAGAGGATAACAAATGTATGTATCCTCAGGGACCATGAATATCTGCAGCAAATGTCATATAGTAAATTAAATAGTTGTTAAGATATTTCACTATAAAAGAAAAATATCAATCTGATGGTGTTTGCAGAATAAAAGTCACATGGTAATCAAAGTGTTTGGGATTCATCCTCAAGGGAGCATGAATATCTGAAGCAAATGTCACGGCAATCCATTCAATTGTTAAGATATTTCACTAGAAGAGACAAATATCAAGCTTATGATGGTACTAGAGGAAAGGTCAAAGGGTGGTCAAAATCTGTAGGATTCACCCTCCAGGGACCACGAATATCTATTAAAGAAATGGTGCCAGTGCATCTGATTTTCTGCTCATTAAGAGTTTTGATCTGCTTCTGTTTGTAGAGTAAACGTCACACGATAACCAAAGCGCCTTTCAAGCGACCTTGGGTCCCTTGAAAGGCGCTATATAAATGCAAGCTATTATTATTATTATTATTAAAGATTCATCCTCAAGGGACCATGAATATCTGATGCAAATGTCCTTTCAATTCTTCCAATAGTTGTTAAGACATTTCACTAGACAGGAAAATAATTTCAACCTCATGGTGGGACAAGAGGAAATGTCACGGGGGTCACCATTGTTTACGGTAATCATCTTCCAGGGACCATGAATGTCTGTTAAAAATATGTGCAACCCTATCAGATTTTTCGGTACCACTTTACAATAAGACTACCCTTATAAAGGGTTTACGAATAGTTTGTAATTCATTTATTAATTAGGTTGTGAACACTTTATAAATCATTAATAAGCTTTTATAAGACATGAGACAAACAGGGCAACTGTGACCGAATGCTTGCCAAATAGTGAGCCCACATCTGTACTGCTAAGTCTTATGTAGCTACTTAGCTTACTTCGTCTTCTTCATCAGCCGTCTTCTTCATCAGCCAGCATCCTTGGTATCTGTTGTTCACTGACTTGATTCTCGCTAAGTAGCCAATATAAGGCTTAGTCATCTTGCCAAATAGTGAGCCCACATGTATCTGTACTGCTAAGCCTTATATTGGCTACTTAGCTTACTTCGTCTTCTTCATCAGCCAGCATCCTTGGTATCTGTTGCTCACCGAGTTGATTCGCTAAGTAGCCAATGTAAGGCTTAGTCATCTTGCCAAATAGTGAGCCTGTGTTGATGTATGAAGACTATGTTAGAACTGATTTATAAATGGTTCTTAATGATTAATAAAGTGTTTACAACCTAATTCATAACCTAATTATAAACTCTTTGTGAATCCTTTATAAGGGTAGTCTTATTGTAAAGTGGTACCGATTCTTCACTAAATAAGAATGTTGTCCTGCTGATATTTGAAGAGTAAAAGTCAGATGATAACCAAGGTCTTTGGGATTCATCCTTAAGGGACCATGGATATCTGTGGCAATTGTCATCCTTCTGATGGTACTTGAGGATCCATCAGTGGGTCCCAAATGTCAGTAGGTTTTAACCTCCAGGGACCATGGAAGTCTGTAGAAAAAAGTGGATATTTCACTGAGAAAGATAGTTTATCTGCCATTGTTTCTAGCTTCAAAGTCCAATAATTACCACAGTTTTTAGGATTTTATCTCAAGGGACTTTGTAGGAAATTTGACCGCACTTTGACCAATAGTTGTCAAAATTGTCACTCTTTCCCACTAGTTTCAAACTCATGATGGCACTACAGGAAACGTCCAGGTATCACCAACTTTAGTAGCATGTATCCTCTGGGGATCATGAATGGCTGTACCAATTTTCATAGCAATACATCCAATAGATTTGAGATATTACATTCTGGGGAAAAAGTGTTTGGGCGACTATCAAGTCCTTAATTTCCAGTCATAGAGGAGTGGAAATTAAATAAATCTGTATGCCGGTAACATGATGGCAAAATGAAGGAATTTTTGTTTCTGTTGAAATGTTGTAATCTAATTATATGTTTATAAGAAAACAACAAACACAGAAACCATCTGCTGCCTGCATGCAATACAATAATTACAGTTAAATGTGAATCAGACTGTGTTATATTGGAAAAAAACATGTTTCATAACAATGTATTTTCAGTAAATGATGATACATATGAAAAGGCATGCTGCTCTAAATACTTTGAGCATTCTTGGAAGTGAGACGACGACACATTAGACATCTGGAAACCCCACAAATCCTTTTATCTTGTTTATTGCTTCTTGGTATTAGCTTATTCTCATCTTTGTGCTTCCCAGCAACATTGCGTAAAACAAATCACACATTTTTGCAATTGCAACATAGGAATGTAAAATATCTAAGGGGATGTTGGCAGAACAATAATACCATCTGCACAATAACATCTGTGGTTTATTAATGACAAAGGGGAAATGTCGTTGTATGATCTAAATATATCAGAGGATGGATTTATTGTGTGTTAACATGCTGCGTTCAGCAATTATTTAAAAGCCCGTAAAAACAAATACTCAAAAATGTAAAAATAAATTGTTACCGCTGTTGATACATTGTTTTTGTTTACCTGTTATTACAGTATGATCAGTGTTGTAAGTACTTTTACTCAAGTACCATAATTTATTTTCACAAAATTGCACTTTTATGCTACTTAATTGTTGTGTCTCGTCAAATGTGTTAGTTATGTTCATGTTTGTCTGTCATTTCCTGTTTTATTTTGTACCTCTTGTCTTTCATTTCAGGCCCTGTGTCTTCCTCCCCCTGTGTGTTTTTCCCGCCACCATCAGTGTCTGCCTCGCCCCTGATTGTTTCCACCTGTTCCCACTCACCTCATGTTTAAATAGTCCTGTCTGTCCCCTGTCCTGTGTCAGTTCGTCTTGTTTGTTTCCCCGAATGGTCGTGCCAAGCCTCAGCTCTGAAAGGATCGCTTTTCACTCATGTCAGGTTTTGTTATTTTGTTTATTTTTTGTTGTCTTAAAGGGGACCTATCATGCAAAATGCACTTTTGTATGTCTTTTATACATGAATATGTGTCCCCGGTGTTCCAGGGAACTCACCAAGTGTCAGAAAACACAACCCTCTCTATTTTCCTCCATACCCAAATCTCTAAAAAAGGGGCAGCAACGGATCTGATAAAAACTGATCCAGATTTGAACACTGTCCTGACGTCAGGAAAGTGGCGCTACGGCTATTGGGCCAACTCCACCAATCAGGGGAATGTGGGGTTGGGCCACGGCCGGCCATTGCCGCTCGAAAGCGCTGGAGACGCTGTAGTACATATGCCAGGCCTGTAAGTGGCGCTGTAGTCTGCCACAAAAGCAGCGAAGAAGACTTACCGCCCATAGTTACCATGGTTACCCTTCTGTTTATTCTCCGCTCTGGCTCTTTTTCTCCCTCCCCGAGGCAAGCGTTTGCTCCTGCTGCTTTAATTCAATGCAATCCCTCCCCGTCGAGGCAAGCACTGTAATTCTCTCCGGTTAGTCCACCAGCAGATGACAAACACCCACCTCTCCGCCTATTCCAAGGAACGAGGGGACCGTGCGGCAGAGTTTCAGTTTCAGTTTGTTTCGCCGGTCAAGATGTCCGTTAAAGTTTAAATGTGTCGAGGTCCTGACATTTATACATAAAATGAGATGTAAAAATGTTCTCCCCTACATTTCAGAGGCAACTATCCGACTTTTTCCTCCATTTCGCTTATTTAACACTCCTTGTTACGATACTTTTTACATATTAAAGTGCATGATATGCTGTTTTTATGGTTAAGTGTTGTCCTAGCAATATCAAACGTGTCTAAAATTGGCTCCACTTTAAAAAAATACAAGGTTAAAATGACCTTGCATGTATTAGCTAGTGAAAAACACAGAATAATATATTATTTTATGATCATATGGTCCTGTGAAGAGAGCCAATTTACACTTTTGTAAACGTTTTTTTGTATATGTGATAATACTTTGGTGCTTTTACTTAAGTGAACGTTTGAATTCTGTACTTTTACCTGCAATAAAGTATTTTAATAGCAGCTTGAAGGATCCAAGTACTTCTTCCGCCTCTGATAATGATGCAGAAATGTCTTCAAAGATGTCATGTTGGGAAATGTTCCAAATGCCGGTGTTGAAATGATAATAATACTGAAACAGCAGGAGTGTAATCTAGCACATCAGAGGTAAACATCAGTTAATTTATCTGAATAAAAAATGATGTGTTTCTTTTCTTGAGCAACTATTGTGCACAGCTGTATAATTATCCTGCACATACACACATCCATTGAAGAGGGATGATACATTGGCTGCTGTGGTACAAAATGGGTGAATATTGGATGTGTTTTATGATAGATAGATGGATAGATAGATAGATAGATATATATATATATATATATATAGATAGATAGGTAGGTAGGTAGATGGATAGATAGGTAGATATGTAGGTAGGTAGGTAGGTAGGTAGGTAGGTAGGTAGGTAGGTAGATGGATGGATGGATGGATGGATAGATATATAGATAGATAGATGGATAGTTAGATAGATAGTTAGATAGATAGTTAGATAAGTACTTTATTGGTCCCAATTTGGGAAATGTTTGCGTTGCAGCAGCATAAAAAACAAGGCAATGTACATAAGAGAAATTAGACACTAGAAATAAACAGTCCAAAATATTTCTGAAACAGAAATAAAATAGCATTAAAAAGGTAAAAATATATATATACATGTGGAAAATATTCGTGTGGAAATATGGTATTTTTGGGGGTATTTTGTGCAGATATAGAATTAGAATAGAATATTGGGTCTACAAGTCAAATGTCAACATGCTGAGGAATTACAACTGGGAGGTGAATGAGATCAGAAATCATGGAAATTTCCACTGGGAAGAGGAAATTCCCAAACAACATCTCCAGAATCGGATCCCTGACAGCAGAGTCCACACATGCAGCACACATGTACACAGAGTGAGACACGGTGTACAAGTACACAGCTATTAGTACAGGACAGTAGGTCATGTTGACAAAGTGTACTTAATAAGTAATAAGAGGAGAACTCTGCTCCAAAGCTTCTCTTAATAGAACTTAAAATCCCACTGTACATTTTACATTTATGTTCAATTTAATATTGAATAATCAATTTCTTGCACAATAATATCCTGCTATTTCATTTCAGAAATATTTTGGACTGTTTATTTATTGTGACTGAAATCTATCTATCTATCTATCTATCCATCTATCTATCTATCTATCTATCTATCTATCTATCTATCTATCTATCTATCTATCTATCTATCTATCTATCTATCTATCTATCTATCTATCTATCTATCTATCTATCTCCTATCTCCTATCTCCTATCTACCTACCTACCTACCTACCGACCGACCGACCGACCTACCTACCCAAACCTACCTACCTACCCACCTACCCACCTACCCACCTACCCACCTACCCACCTACCTACCTACCTACCTACCTACCGACCTACCTACCGACCTACCGACCGACCGACCGACCGACCGACCGACCGACCGACCGACCGACCTACCTACCTACCTACCTACCTACCTACCTACCTACCTACCTACCTACCTACCTACCTACCTACCTACCTACCTACCTACCTACTGTACCTACCTACCTACCTACGTACCTACCTACGTATCTATATAATATTTTTTGTAAATTAGAACAAGTACTTTCTATCTGTTCTATTAATAATGCATAATAATAATATATGGTATTTATATAGCGTTTTACCTGGAGCTCAAAGCGCTTAAAATTGCTGTATATATACCAGAACGGCTGTTAAACAGTATTTAAAAAGAAAAGCTGGGCTAACATTACAACTTCAGGGTAAAGATATATATTTAAAAAGTGATAGAAAAGAAAAATATGCATTTGTGTGTACTCTTAATTTTATTTATGGGAAAATTCAACATTCATAGTAAGAGATGGATGACTGAAAATCAAGAAAACGGTTTCATGTATTATACAAATAAAATAAACATATTGTATTTGAAATATCACTTATTTTTGTGTGTTTATAATATTAAATGTAATTTTCCTGTATTAAGTCACTGCTGCCTCTGCTGCTGCTGGGAAACAAACTGACCAATAGGAAGCGAGCAGGGGCGGGACTTACGCTGTCATAAACACGTGTACGGGAAGTAGGAAATAAATACAGACATTCGTGGTGCTACTGGAAAGAAGTGAGTAAACCTCAAACTAATGCCCCAAAATACCTTAAAATGACATTTAAAGCGACTTGAAACTAAGCCGAATGAATGAATATTGTATAATAATGCCACAAAGAAAGTTTGAGTGAAATATAAAAGCGTAATTGTATAAAATAAGGCGCGAAAGCATTAAAAGTTCTGCGGTTTTCTGTCATTTACAGGTGATTCACGTTTAATACCTGCATATATTATGGGCTTTATGTCTGTTTTTAACTCGATTACACGACAACTAGTTATACCACACACAGCAGTGTTATTGATCATCATTAAAGCAGTGTGTGCAGCGTACTTTGACAGCATTAAAAACATTTATCTTGACCTATTCTTTAAAAAGTCACTTAAAGCTAGAAGCTGCATGTTAGTTTTACATCAACACATTCAGAAGTTTATTTACGGGAACACATGCACTCAAAATTCATTTAAAATTCGCGTTTATTACATGAATATCAACGTCTGCAAGTCATGCATATCCCATATGGAGTTCTCGGTCCTACATGCATTATAATATACACACACACACACACACACACACACACAGCCTAACACTTACAATTATCCAGTACTTTTCTTTAACAAAACACACATTGAAGCAACCTTAAAGAAAACATAATGTAGACGGCATGTTTGTTTACATGAATGTATACCTCTTAAATAAGTAAACAATAATTAGATTTAAAGAAACAAAGTCTGAATGTTTTGTAGTAGTTATCAGGCTGCTGTAGATTATGAGTCGATGGACCCACCCGTTATACAGGTTTGACTACATAGACGCAAATGTTAAAATTCCAGGATATTCAAAGAGCAAACCGGATTTGCCTCTTATTTGTTCAGGGTGTGTGACACACTACTAATGAGAGGACTTAAACACACACACACACACACACACACACACACACACACACACACACTCAACATGACTCAGCATTAGACCTGTTGTGGGATCTGCAATGTGGAATATTTTGAGAGAAAAGTCAGAATATCTTGAGAGAAAAGTCAGAATATCTTGAGAGGAAAGTCAGAATATTTTGAGAGAAAAGTCAGAATATCTTGAGAGAAAAGTCAGAATATCTTGAGAGAAAAGTCAGAATATCTTGAGAGGAAAGTCAGAATATCTTGAGAGAAAAAGTCAGAATATCTTGAGAGAAACGTCAGAATATCTTGAGAGAAAAGTCAGAATATCTTGAGAGAAACGTCAGAATATCTTGAGAGGAAAGTCAGAATATCTTGAGAGAAACGTCAGAATATCTTGAGAGAAACGTCAGAATATCTTGAGAGAAACGTCAGAATATCTTGAGAGGAAAGTCAGAATATCTTGAGAGAAAAAGTCAGAATATCTTGAGAGAAAAAGTCAGAATATCTTGAGAGAAAAGTCAGAATATCTTGAGAGGAAAGTCAGAATATCTTGAGAGAAAGTCAGAATATCTTGAGAGGAAAGTCAGAATATCTTGAGAGGAAAGTCAGAATATCTTGAGAGAAAAGTCAGAGTATTTTAATTGAAAAAAGTTGGAATATTTTGACAGTTCTGAGAAATAAAGGACGGGAAGTTGTGTATAACTACAAAACAGTTGTGAGTTGTTGGTGTTCTCTCGTCACGTTGTTCATCATCAAATATATAAACGTACATAAAGTGTACATACGTGTTTTTGCTTGAACATGTCAATTTTTTGGGGCTCATATGGGGACAGTACTTACTTGGATCTTATTGGAGTATTTTAAATGTAGGGCAGTTACCGAAATATTTTAATGTAGCAATTTTGTCTTTTTAGGAATAAAATAATCAGGTTTTGTTTGCCACATCCAAAAAAATAAACATCTTTTGTCTCAAACGCATACCTATAGAAAGATTAATTGATCTCTCAGTGGTGTTGACATATTTTTTGGTTGCTAAATAATGTGAATGTGCACTGGGATTATTCTGAGTTTGTGTGCAGGTGTGGTTCAAAACAAATTACATTTCATTTAGCTGACGCTTTTATCCAAAGCGAAAATTCAAATGATTGCAATATTTTTAAAGGAACGGTACCAAATAATATGTTTTGTTTAGTGTAGAGAATATGATTTGTTAGCTAGTATTTCTCTTCAGCTCATTAGTTTCCTCAATCCTGAGAAAAACGTACGAATTCTTAGAAAAAGTGAAAATAAGTTGAAAATAAATTCAGAAAAAAAATTCAAAATTCTGATAAAAAAGAAATTGGAAATTCTGAAAAAAGTTAAAATCTTGGAAAATTCTTTCATTCTTCAAATTAAGTAAAAATGAAAATTCTGAGTCTATATGTGTGTGTGTGCAGGTGTGGCACCATGCTGGAAGGCTACAGTCCTGTGACCCAGGCCCTGCTGGGGACCCTCTTCACGTGGGGACTCACCGCTGCTGGAGCCGCTCTGGTGTTCGTCTTCTCCAGCAGACAGGTGGGCATGTGGCGCAATGGGTTAGTGCGCTGATCTTCGAATCAGAGGATATCAAGTTCGAGTCCCACTGCAGTCAGCATGTCGTTGTGTCCCTGGGCAAGACACTTCACCCCAAATTGCTCCTGTGGGGATTGTCCACAGTATTGTTGAGTATGTAAGTCGCTTTGGATAAAAGCGTCTAACGAGTGACATGTAATGTAAAAAGGTAACATAAGAACTCAGAATAAAGAGCTTAGAAAAAACGTAAACAATCTTGAAGGAATAGTTGGTAATTTGGTGAAAAAGCTTAGCTAATTTTTCAAGATTCAAAGGTTTTATTGTCATATGCACAAAAGCTACAGTGTAGAAATGTTTAGATACATTAGTAGATTGCAAGATGACAAACAGAGGAATGTTTATCGAGGCACTTTACAGAGCTCAGGTGTTTAGTCTTATTGCCTGCGGGATAAAACTTGACTAGAAAAATATGTTTCAAGTCCTCTGTTACAGGAAAAGTCCTGCATTCAAAATGTTAATCAAGTAAAAGTAGAAAAGTATTATCATCAAAATGTAGTTAAAGTACCAAAAGTAATCAAACGGCCTCCAAAAACACGACTTTTTAGTTTATAATGACGCCCTCTTCATGTCTTCCCCTTGCAGAAGCGCATCTTGGATGGAAGTTTAGGATTTGCAGCTGGGGTGAGTACGATTTCTGACACACACACACACACACACACACACACACACACACACCCCCACCACTAATGAGACAGCTCTCTGAGTATTGAAGCAATTAGCACTCACTGCTTTGTCTACATTGATATTGGTTGCATGCATTAAAGGTAATTTTGTCCGCGACTCCACAGGAGGACTATTGATTTTAAATGACGTTTCTATGGAGACGTGGTCCACTCAGAGACGTGAGTGAGAATACAGAGATCCTAACAAGGGTTATGAAGATGAACACACACACACACACACACACACACACACACACACACACACACCCCCCAACCCCAACGAACACAAACCCTTGAGGTACTCTCAGTGTCTCTCTTTTCATTACAACATAAGTCTTTCTATCTCTTTCTCTGAAACACACACACACACACACACACACACACACACACACACACACACACACACACACACACAAAAGAGAAGCTTGTTTTTATATCTCAAGTGTTTCTGTCCTTATTGCAGTATTGGCCATTCTTTATCCCTTTATTTCTCTCAAACACACACACACACACACACACACACACACACACACACACACACACACACACACACACACACACACACACACACACACACACACACACACACTTTACTGTGTCAGCCTCCTCTGACACAGACAACTCCAGACGCCTCATTAATTCATAAAAGTTTGAGATAATCTTTCCCCTGAAGGAATTCTTGGCTTTCTCATATCTGAAGAGGTATCACCACTATCTGACAATTACCATTACATTCATTAATTTCCCGAGGGGTAAGCAGTTGACGGCGGATATTTATTTTTATATTTATTTTGTCGCAGAGAAGGGAATCGGTAACAAATCTAATCTGGCACAGAAGTGTTAAAGCTCAGAGTGACGCCCATTGAAAAAGGTGTAATTACTTTTAAAGCTTTTTTAAATCCATGAGAGTTATCTTGTGCTTTATTTCTGCTGGGATTTCAGAGCGCTGCAAAGGTATTTGACTTGTTAAATTGAAAATGATTTGACACACACAGACGTTAGAAGTGAGACAGACGGATCGATAGACAGACGGATAGTTAGACAGACGGATAGACGGATAGTTAGATAGACGTACAGTTAGATAGACGTACAGACGGACAGACGGATAGTTAGATAGACAGACGGACAGACGGACAGACGGATAGTTAGATAGATGGACAGACGGATAGACGGATAGTTAGATAGACGTACAGTTAGATAGACGTACAGACGGATAGACGGACAGACGGATAGTTAGATAGACGGACGGACGGACAGACGGACAGACGGATAGTTAGATAGATGGACAGACGGATAGACGGATAGTTAGATAGACGTACAGTTAGATAGACGTACAGACGGATAGACGGACAGACGGATAGTTAGATAGACGGACGGACGGACAGACGGACAGACGGATAGTTAGATAGATGGACAGACGGATAGACGGATAGTTAGATAGACGTACAGTTAGATAGACGTACAGACGGATAGACGGACAGACGGATAGTTAGATAGACGGACGGACAGACGGACAGACGGATAGTTAGATAGATGGACAGACGGATAGACGGATAGTTAGATAGACGTACAGTTAGATAGACGTACAGACGGATAGACGGACAGACGGATAGTTAGATAGACGGACGGACGGACAGACGGACAGACGGATAGTTAGACAGACGGACAGACGGATAGTTAGATAGACGTACAGTTAGATAGACGTACAGACGGATAGACGGACAGACGGATAGTTAGATAGACGGACGGACGGACAGACGGACAGACGGATAGTTAGATAGATGGACAGACGGATAGACGGATAGTTAGATAGACGTACAGACGGATAGTTAGATAGACGGACGGACGGACAGACGGACAGACGGATAGTTAGATAGATGGACAGTTAGATAGACGTACAGACGGATAGTTGGATAGACGGACGGACGGACAGACGGATAGACGGATAGTTAGATAGACGTACAGTTAGATAGACGTACAGACGGATAGACGGACAGACGGATAGTTAGATAGACGGACGGACAGACGGACAGACGGATAGTTAGATAGATGGACAGACGGATAGACGGATAGTTAGATAGACGTACAGTTAGATAGACGTACAGACGGATAGACGGACAGACGGATAGTTAGATAGACGGACGGACGGACAGACGGACAGACGGATAGTTAGACAGACGGACAGACGGATAGTTAGATAGACGTACAGTTAGATAGACGTACAGACGGATAGACGGACAGACGGATAGTTAGATAGACGGACGGACGGACAGACGGACAGACGGATAGTTAGATAGATGGACAGACGGATAGACGGATAGTTAGATAGACGTACAGACGGATAGTTAGATAGACGGACGGACGGACAGACGGACAGACGGATAGTTAGATAGATGGACAGACGGACAGACGGACGGACAGTTAGATAGACGGTTAGATAGACGGACGGACAGTTAGATAGACGGTTAGATAGACGGACGGACAGTTAGATAGACGGTTAGATAGACGGACAGACGGACAGACGGACGGACGGACAGACGGACAGACAGGATAGCAGTACACAATGCTGCATTTATTTTTTGAAATTAGATCTTTACAAGGCATACACAACTAAATAAATGACAGTTAAACTATAAAAACAATCAAGATATGGAAAAATGTTTAACTATAATTAACAGGAAATACAGCAGTTGACTGATAACGGATACATCATTAATACTTATTAGTAAATTAATCGTCTAATCTGAAGTACATTTTGTAATATTTTGTGTCACCCGATTTTCCCAGCTTTCGTCAAAGATATTAACTTAATTTCAAATGTACATGGTTATCTTTTAAATTGTATATATTTCATTCTATAATATATGAATCCCTACTACCCGTTACCATTCACAGAACAAACTAGGGCTGCATGTTTAGAGTAGGTAACAAGTTGTGAATAAGTTGCAATATGATTCGGGATAATGGTAAAAGTGATTATTTCTGCATCAAAATTCTCATTAGCATCAAAAAATGAATTCAAATGATTAGAATATTTGTTTAAAGGAACGGTTTATACAAAACTCATATGTTTTGTTAGGTATGTAGGGTACGATTAGTAAGCCGGAATTTCCCTTCAGCTTATTCGTTTCCTCAATTCTAAGAAGACGTCTGAAAAAAAGACAAATTAAAGGTCCCATGTCATGCTTTTCCGGTTATTACCCGTCCCCTTGTGTGTTATGTAGCTTCTGCATGTAAACGGTCTGCAGTCACAAACCCTCAAAGTACACCCTGTAGCGAGTAAAACTCTAACACAGAAAAGACCTGTCTATGCTGCCCCAGAACGCCTCGTTGGACATTTCTCTTTTTCTTCCTGGGTACAGTGACGTATTTGGGTATAGTGACGTAACGTAACGGCTCCGCGGATTGGTCCATTTACGCTATGTCCGGGGAGCCGTTACGTTTGGACCAATCCGCGGACTTCCTCACACACACACACACACTCGGCGGGACATTACGAGGCTCGCTCAGTCTGAGCACACACACAAACTCCCAGCCAGGCTGCGGGTGTGTGTGTGTGTTTCGGGCTGGGTTTCGCTGTGTCTCGCTGTCTCGCAGACGGCCACTGGGCTCACAGGGAGGGAGGGGGGGGCAGGAGCTCCAACAAGCCGTTAAGGACAGAGAGTGAATGCACATGCTATACAGAGATGCTGTATGAGAAACCAATGTGAGTTTGGAAAATTGCACAATATAAATCTATTCTAGTAGACCTCAACAATGGAATTATGATCAGTAGAAATGGCCATGACATGGGACCTTTAAGTAAAATTGAAGTCTGAATTTTCTTTAATATTCTGAGATTTTCTTTTTAAATTGTGCGAAAAAATGGAAATTCTGAAATAAAGTCTGATTTATGAGAAAAATGTTAAATTCTGAATTGCTAGCTGGTTGTCCACCGCTAAGAGACCCCTTAGCCTATCATGTACAAAGTGTTGGAGCACTAGCCAATAGAAGTGCGAGTGTTACATAGTGATGTTCAGAAGTAAACAAAGGAGTCCAGTGGAGGCAAGGTGTGTGAGTGAGTGTCTGATGGAGATTGGTGATAATTAAAGGCCTGAGGAGTGTATCCAGGCTTCCTTGAGAAAGAGAAGGGCAGAAAATAAATGGATGTTATCTTACCCATCTCTTATCTGGATTATCTCCTTCATCTTCACAGCTTTTCAATTACGTCTGAGGCTCTGCTGATGCCTTCCTCTGATATGAGAAGCACTGATAAGAGCTGAGGGGTGTTCCTGTCAAACATTTGCTTCACGTCTTTCCAATTTTGCGAGACGCTCGTCTTTCTGAAATATATTTTTGATGAACTTCGCCACTCGGCATGAACACTGTGAATTATTTACACTTATTTCCAGAGTATCTCAATTTCTCCAGCCTCTCGTTCGCATAACTTGCTTTTAATCGCAATGACATTTTAATATGAAACTTAATTTTTCATTCTGTTCCTTTCATATTACAGATGAGATTGTGGGGCTGTGATAATCCTTTAGGTATTCTAATAGCTGGTTGCAGAGCAGAATATGCAAATGCATGCCTGGTAGAAATACTTTTCCCTGATTTAAATGTGGCTCCAGATGGCTTTTATTACTGTAAGGGTCTACTTTCAATCAAAAGCTCAGGGCTTCCAGACTTCTGAGGTACAGGACGGGTTGTGCAATAATTTAGAGAAGACATATTTATTTATTTACCTGAATAAGTAGAACTAATAGAGGACACAAGAGGTAGCCATTGTATGTCATTTTATAGGATTACTGCTCCATATGGCTTTCATTTCGGACAAATTCATTTAAAAAGTATATTAGTTTCTGTAAATTAAGATACCTGAGGGTTTTGAGTGGTGATGGGAAGAGGAAAAAGTAGAGCTGCGGCTCGTCTCGATAGTAGACGAGAATAGCCGATTGCAGCCGAGGGAGGTCTCAAAAG